CAGCAGGAAGGTCCAGGGGGCTGAGAGTGCAGAGAGGTCCAGGGAAGCCCTGAAGCATGTGTGGTTGAGGGGAGGGAATAAACTGAGTATTTCTGCCTGAGGCCAGCCCCCATCCCCCACCCCCAGCCAGGTACCAGGCCCGAGTGGCCTGTCCTCTCTACCTCTGCCCCTACCCTCTACCCCCTACCCCTGCAGGTCGTCCTGGCGGGATTGGAGCTTTCTCCTCCTGTCACATTCCAGCTCCGGGCTGGCTCTGGACCCGTGTTCCTCTGTGGCCAGGAATGTTATGGTAAGTCCAAGCTTGGACCCGAGAAAGGTCTGCCAGTACAGCGCTCAGCACAGGGTCAAGGACATAATAGGTACTCAAACACTTGAGGGATTCTTGAATTATTAGAGAAGATCCCCAAAGGCAACAGAATCACCAGCAGCCTGGACCAGAAGACCATGGGCACGCGTCGTAGCCCCAGTTCTCCTTTACCTCTCCGCCACGTCCTCTGTGGGCTGCAGCCCGCCAGCCATAACACGGGGGTGGGGTTATACTCGGTTCCATCTTCAAGTGTATTCCTCCTAGTTGTGAGGAATAAATGGCATATTCAGAAAAAGCACTTAACATAACGCCTGGTACCAGAGCACACTCAACACATTACCTGCTATGAAGTATGTAGCTGTAGCAGTAACACGGACCCTGGCAATTCGCTGTGCTTTTGACTCTTTTGACAGCGCTTTAACTGCCTTCTTCTCTGTCCAGTGGTGCCTCTTCCATCAGGGTTCTCTCCTGCTCCAAACCCCGGGCAGGTTCCACCTGCCTCAGGATGAGGCCTGAGTTCCTCCGCTGCTGTGTCCCCACCCTCTCCCTCCTTCCCCTCACACTCTCCTTCCCAGTGTGCATCCCCCTCTGGCCCGGCCAGAGCTACAGCTTACCACTTCCCCTGCCCTCCTGCCACGGCCTCAGCCCTCACCGACCCCCCCACCCCGCCAGCCGCACGTTGGGCAGGTAGATCTGGGAAGGGGAGCCTGGCAGAGACCCTCGGGCTCAGAGGGCCTGCCTCCCTCCCACACCATCGCTGACACTGCAGACCAATCCTGGGAGGAGGAGGAGGAGGAGGAGGAAGGTGATGACGACGAAGACACAGATGTGTCCCTGGAGAAGGAGACCCCTGTCAAACCAGTCAAGAGGCTGGCGCCCCAGAAGCACACAAGCGTTGCCAAGGTGAGGGAGGGACACCCCACCCCCCGCAAAGCCTCTTCAGAAACCTGGACCAGGCCTCCCCAGTTGAGTGCGCTGAGGCCCGGGGCAACACCTGCCAGGTGCCCGGCAGGAGTCTGCTCTGCCCCTGGGCCTTGCCAGAACTCCCAATAATGCTTGTGTTTGGTTTCCAGAAAAAAAAGGTGGAAAAAGAGGAGGTGGCAGTGAGGTAACTCTTTCCATCTGTTAAATGAGCCAAAATCTTTTAGTTGAGGTACATCGTGCTTGAAAGAGGATGATGCACATGTGTGTGCAGGTGTGTGGTACATGGAGACACAGGTACACAGGTGCACAGGCGTGCTGCCACTGTCGGTTGGCACAGTCTTTTTGAAAAGCATTTAACAGTTCTTATCTTCTGACTTCATCCCACTTATGGCAGTTCCTTCCAAAGAATCCCATCCAAGATATGAGGGAAATATATGCACTAAGAAACTTATCACTGCGAAACTTATCACTGCATTATTCAGATAATAGTATAAAATGGAAGCACTGTAAATGGCCATCAATATACCAGTTGCTTAAACTATGTCACGTCTTCTCAGTGGGATGTGACATAATGCCCATGAAGAATATAGCAAACTGGAAAGTGTTTCTAGAATTCAAAGAGCAGGATATTAAATTATTTTCATTTTAATATTTATTTAATTTTTGGCTGCATTGGGTCTTAGTTGCGGCATGCGGGATCTTGGTTGGGATCTTCGTTGAGGTGCACAGGCTCTCTAGGTGTGGCCCATGTGCTCAGTAGTTGCCGCGCACGGGCTTACTTAGCCCACGGCATGTGGGATCTTAGTTCCCCGACCAGGGATCACGTCCGCTGCATTGGAAGGTGGGTTCTTAACCACTGGACCACCAGGGAAGTCCCAAATTATTTTCATTTTATTTCACAAACAAAAAAGTTCTGAAAGGAAACAAAATGTTAATATTAGTAGGAGGCAAAGAAAAGTATAGGCAATTTATTCTCTATTTGCTGTATTTTGTGCAATGTGGTTAACGTTACTTTTATGATAAACATTTGTGTCTTATACACAAATAAAGGAAAGCAGATAGAAGCTTAAGAAGAAGAAACATCTTGTTTAAAAAGAGAGAGTCAGGGACTTCCCTGGCGGTCCAGTGGTTAAGACTCTGGGCTTCCACTGCAGGGGCCACGTGTTCAATCCCTGGTCGGCGAACTAAGATCCTGCATGCCGCGTGGTGGGCCAATAAATAAACAAATAATTTTAATTTAAAAATTAAAAAAATAAAAGAGAGTCAGAGTGGTCCCTGGCAGGTGACAGGTGGAGAGGCAAACCTCTCCAGGTCACAGCCCCCTGCTTCCTGGAAGTGCCCAGGGCCCAGCTCTGCAGCCTGGGCACTAGTAGGAGGGCCCGGGGCTACTGGCATCAGACTGAGCTCTCTCTTTCCCACATCCCCACTCCTTGCCCAACCCCACCCCGTTCCAGATACCATCCTAAAGACAGGAGCCCTGTGGGAAAGGTGAGTACTGATAAGAAGGGGCTGGTCCTCCTGGGGGAGGAGGGATGTTCTCTGGGAAGGTGCCAGGATGGGGAGAGGGTGGGACACTGGAGCAACCCCTTCTCTCACAGGCCAAAACCACACCCAGACCTAAAAAGCCAGGATTTAAGAAAGTGCTGAGTCTGAATGTGATGGACGTGTTGGGGGTGACACAAGAGCTCCTCACCCCAACTCAACTCTCGGTTGCAGCAGGACCTGGAGGGAAGAGCCCCGACCTCTCAGACCCACAATAAAGTTTGCTTTGCTAGGACCTTGTTGCAGCTGTCTCTCCCTTCCCCAGGAGCTGTCCTTGCCGGCTGCAGTGAGCCTGTGAGCCCGGCAGAGGGCAGCCGTGTGCCAGCACACCCTGGCCTGCCTGCCAGCCAGCCAGCTGTGTTCTGCTCTTTATCTCCCTCTCCCCGCACCGCCCCACCGCACCCCCCCCACACGCCCGGCACCACCACCCCATCCCCAGCTTTGGGGGAAGGACCAAGTGTCTCAGCCCCTTTCCCAGCTTCGACCTTCAGCCCTCAGGCCTGAAGGAGGGAGCTAGAGCTGGGGTGGGTCTTCCTATGTCCACACTCCCTTCTGACAGGGCCTGGCTCTCCAGATACAGAACTGAAGGGTGACAGCTGTCCGCTGCCCTTACCAGGAAGGGACCAGCCTGAGGGTCTGCATCTCAAGGGCCGGGCCTAGCTCTGCTCTCCCAGGCTTGCGTCCTGTTAGGGGTGAGCTGCTCACAGGAACGTCACTGGTGTGATCTGTGTCAGGCAGGAGCCCAGAGGCCCGCACCTTCAAGGAAACCTCCCAAGTGGGGAGACAGGCAGGCTTCCTGGAAGTTAATCTCTTCCAGGAGGTGGGCAGGTGAGCACTTTCAGCTCCTGGGCTAGCGTTCCCCAAGGGTAGCAGTCAGAGCCACAGGAACAGGGTTCAGTAAATTGTTGGGGTGAGGCCAACAGAGGCTTGGAAGGGGGGTGAATGACCCATCGCGTGGCTCTGGCTTTCTGTCCCCTCCCAGCCTGCAGAGCCACTTTGAAGCCGGGTTCACCCATGGTGACATGCAGGTGGCCGCCTCCCTCGGGGTCTACTTGCAGGGCCTCTGCTGGGCTTCTCCCTGCCCCTAACCAGCAGCCCCATTGGCCAGGCCTGAAGTGGGCCAGTGGGGAACTGGCCCTGCCCTCTCTCCCCAGGACCCCCAGGTATGGGTCCCAGAAAGTTGGAGGTCTCTAAACACCTGCACGGGAAGGGCAGCAGGCAGGCTTGAGTCTCCCCATTCAGCTTCCCTTGATGCCAGAAGAGGTAGAGAAAAGCAGGGCTGGCATTCTTGCTTCTGCTCTCTACACCCCACAAGGCAGATGTGGCCTTTGTCCCACCCTCTAACAAAGGAGAACATGCTACTGACCTCAGTCCCCCAGAGTGACAAGGGACATCAGTTCAGGTCTGGTTCCAGGTAGGCATCTGGCATTGATCATGGCTTCATGCCACCGCGATACAGGGTGGGCAAGACAAAGTCCTCCCCTCAAGTTGCCTACAGTCTAGTGGAAACACAGGAGCCAACAACATAATTTCAATTACTGTCCAGCACTTTGGAGGACGTAAAACAAGCTAATTTCCAGGGTGGGGAAGTGCTGGTGGGTTTTTTTGGGGGGCGGGGGGGGGGGATTTGGCCACGACAGATGGCTTGTGGGATCTTAGTTCCCCAATCAGGGATCAAACCCACACCCTCAGCAGTGGAAGTGCGGAGTCCTAACCACTGGACCACCAGGGAAGTCCCCGGAAGTACTCTTTCGTTGGATCTGAGAAGGTCCTTCAGAGGAGACGATTGACAAAGAGGGAGTGGTGGCTACATGTAGAGCTGGCAGAAGGACATTCCTAGGAGCAGGAACAGAGGGTGCAAAGGGCCTGAGGCAGAACAAGCAGAGAGGTTTGGACAGAAAGAAGGCTGATGCGATTGCAGTGATAACGCTGCCGCTGCGAGCTGGGTGCTGCTCTAAGTGCCTTCCATGGATTCACACCTTTAATCCTTACAACCATGCCTAGAGGTGGGTGTTATTAGCCCCATTTCTCAGATGTGGAAAGTGAGGCACAGAGAGGTTAAACAGCTTGCCCCCCAAGGTCACACAGCCAGGATTCACACCCATGTAGTCTGGCACCAGGGTCCTGTTTTTAACCACTCTGTGGGTGAGAGGGGGATGTGGAAGTTTGAGGGTGCCAGGAAGCCTCAAACTGAGAGTGGGAGTTAGAATTGAGTCCACCGTATAACTGGAGCCCAGGAGGGGCAGCTCCGGAGCCAAGTTATAGCAAAGCCTGTGTTGTCGCAGGTATTTCTCCGCTCCGCCAGCCCCAGGCAAGCGCCCCTGTTCTCTGGCTCCGCAGCAGGACTGCACAGAAGGGCACTTAACAGCTAGACGTCTGACGATTTGATTTCCACGTGCCGGCAGGCGGTGGGGATCAGACAGCAAAGATGCGGGGGGTGGGGGTGGGGGGTCTTTCCACATTGCTCTTTGTCCTTCACCCTTCCCCGGCCCTAGCCCTTCTGTTTGTCAACAGGAAAAGGGTGGGCTGGGGTCAAAGCAGGTGGTGACAAGTGGCCGGCATGCAGGTGGACTCTGGGTCTGCACAAGCTGGGCTGCTAGGAGCAGGCGTGAGACGCCCCCTTTGTGGGGGGAGCTGTTGAACTTGGCACTGTGGGATGGGATTAACCACCACGGCCCTGGCTACTCCTCACTCCCCTTATCACCTCCTGCCACCCCCCATTTATGGTAATGAACCCTACCCTTCTCCCCCCACCGCCCCCCTCCCCCGCTCCCGGGTCCCTCTGGTGAGGGGAGAAAGTCAAAGTTTAGGCAAACTGAGGCTGGACCACGTAAGAGGGTCTCTGCCCCCTCCCTCGTTCTTGTGGCACTTGACACTTTTCAGGAAGTGTCCTTCCTCTCAGTTGACAAGACGGCAGCATCAGTAGTGGCCATTTCCTTTTTATAAATTAGGAAGCTGAGACCAGAGAGGTGAAGGGACTTGCCACATGTCACATAGCCTGTAAGGGCCGGGGTCAGGGAATGGGGATAAAATTCAGAGTCTGGGACTGGAACACTCCCCGGGGGGGGGGGGGGGATTTGGCCACGACAGATGGCTTGTGGGATCTTAGTTCCCCAATCAGGGATCAAACCCACACCCTCAGCAGTGGAAGTGCGGAGTCCTAACCACTGGACCACCAGGGAAGTCCCCGGAAGTACTCTTTCGTTGGATCTGAGAAGGTCCTTCAGAGGAGACGATTGACAAAGAGGGAGTGGTGGCTACATGTAGAGCTGGCAGAAGGACATTCCTAGGAGCAGGAACAGAGGGTGCAAAGGGCCTGAGGCAGAACAAGCAGAGAGGTTTGGACAGAAAGAAGGCTGATGCGATTGCAGTGATAACGCTGCCGCTGCGAGCTGGGTGCTGCTCTAAGTGCCTTCCATGGATTCACACCTTTAATCCTTACAACCATGCCTAGAGGTGGGTGTTATTAGCCCCATTTCTCAGATGTGGAAAGTGAGGCACAGAGAGGTTAAACAGCTTGCCCCCCAAGGTCACACAGCCAGGATTCACACCCATGTAGTCTGGCACCAGGGTCCTGTTTTTAACCACTCTGTGGGTGAGAGGGGGATGTGGAAGTTTGAGGGTGCCAGGAAGCCTCAAACTGAGAGTGGGAGTTAGAATTGAGTCCACCGTATAACTGGAGCCCAGGAGGGGCAGCTCCGGAGCCAAGTTATAGCAAAGCCTGTGTTGTCGCAGGTATTTCTCCGCTCCGCCAGCCCCAGGCAAGCGCCCCTGTTCTCTGGCTCCGCAGCAGGACTGCACAGAAGGGCACTTAACAGCTAGACGTCTGACGATTTGATTTCCACGTGCCGGCAGGCGGTGGGGATCAGACAGCAAAGATGCGGGGGGTGGGGGTGGGGGGTCTTTCCACATTGCTCTTTGTCCTTCACCCTTCCCCGGCCCTAGCCCTTCTGTTTGTCAACAGGAAAAGGGTGGGCTGGGGTCAAAGCAGGTGGTGACAAGTGGCCGGCATGCAGGTGGACTCTGGGTCTGCACAAGCTGGGCTGCTAGGAGCAGGCGTGAGACGCCCCCTTTGTGGGGGGAGCTGTTGAACTTGGCACTGTGGGATGGGATTAACCACCACGGCCCTGGCTACTCCTCACTCCCCTTATCACCTCCTGCCACCCCCCATTTATGGTAATGAACCCTACCCTTCTCCCCCCACCGCCCCCCTCCCCCGCTCCCGGGTCCCTCTGGTGAGGGGAGAAAGTCAAAGTTTAGGCAAACTGAGGCTGGACCACGTAAGAGGGTCTCTGCCCCCTCCCTCGTTCTTGTGGCACTTGACACTTTTCAGGAAGTGTCCTTCCTCTCAGTTGACAAGACGGCAGCATCAGTAGTGGCCATTTCCTTTTTATAAATTAGGAAGCTGAGACCAGAGAGGTGAAGGGACTTGCCACATGTCACATAGCCTGTAAGGGCCGGGGTCAGGGAATGGGGATAAAATTCAGAGTCTGGGACTGGAACACTCCCCACTTGGGGCCCACCACCGGCCTTCCCATGGGGGTAAAGGAGCAAATGGAGCCAGAAAGCCAGGCCTGCAGGTGCAGAATGGGAAGGGACAAAGAGCAGAAGGGCTACCCAGGTGTGCCCCAGAGCCCCCTGGCACCAGCCCCCTGTCTGAGCCCCAAGGCCAAGCTTGACTGTGGGCATCTGTTACCATGGAGACCCAGGCTGGGCTGGGGGCTGGCCAGTGACAGCAGGCCCTTCCCCCACTGATAGGAACCAGGTTCTCGGGCTCGGAGACCTTGGGCCCAGATGGAACTCCCCACACCTGCCTCTCCTCACTGCCTTCCGTCCCCCAGCTGACCCCTCCACCCCTGAACCCCAAGCCTGAGCCGTCTCCTCCATGCCTCTCTGCTCTTACCCGTGACTCCTGGGGATTGAGGTCCGGAGGAGCTAGCTTTTAATACCCTACCAGGGAGGTAGGAGCTGGTGAGCATGTGGGCATGAGGACAAGGTCTTCCCAGAGAATAGAGACAGAACCAGCACCGATCACAGTGGAGAGGTAGATTCCAGATGTTTCCATGGAAGAGGGAGAGTTTAAATGGGGCCCCAAACGGTGGTGCGAATGTGGAAAATGGAAATGATTGGTACCTTGTTCCAACTATGCTGCTAACTAGCTGTGAGACCCTCTCTGGACCTCATTGGTGAATGAGGAGGCGGGACCAGATGAAGAATC